CTACAGACGACAGTGATTGCGTTTCCATATTTTAACAATTTATGGCAGATTATCTAAAGCGAGCTTACCTCGTTTCGACACTTCAAAATGGAATGTTGCCAACATACCCCGCAGTCCACGTCGCCTACACTGAAAACGCGTTTTGGAAAATTCTTATGGAGTTTTACCGTATCGATGATTCGACATGTCGATTTATTTAAGCCGAGGTACTCGGCCCAGCTCGTGTATTATACATTCTACTTTCTGGTGTACCTATTACACGACAAAAATGTATGTATCAATCGTTTGAAAACACACAAACAAAATATAAATAATAATAATAATAATAATAATATTATTTTAGTATTTTATACGGAAAAAAAAAACACTTGCTCTCCAATTCCTTTTGCAGCCGGCGCATATGACTTGATAGCGAGTACCTAACGAAACTCCGGACAGAGTGAACGACAAACATCCGATATACAACATAGACCATACAATTCGTATAGATGTGCTGAGTCACGCTGCAGTGTGCGAGTATAACAGTGCAGGTTAAGACATTTAGATGACAATATAAATATTATAAATTATTGATGCGATGCGTGCGGTCGTTGTCGGTAAATATTTTTTCCGAGTGTTCCGACCACGACACAAATGTAATAAAAGATACAAGCCGAATAAGTATAGCCGATATAGGTTATATTGTATGCGTACAGTATGTACAGGGCCGTATTTACGCCTAGGCCCGTGAGGCCCGGGCCTAGGGTGGAAAATTTTGTAAGAAATAAAAAAAAAATTCATATAAATATTTTATGCATTTACATAACTGCGTAAATTAATATTATAGTATAGATATTTGTGTGTAAAATATATGGGCGCATGATACTGAAATTTATAATTATTTGTTTTGTTTATAATGACTGTTGACCTAATTTCTTTAAAATGAAATACATTTATTAGAAATAATTACAACATTTTTTTTTTCTTGGGGTAGGGGCAGCATATTTAAAAGGGCCTAGGGCGGCATTTGTTCTAAATCCGGTCCTGAGTATGTACGGTATATTCAGTATATATGTAGTATGTATAGTATAAATACGGTTTGTAAATCGACTGCTATAATATTATGTAGGCTTGTAACTCGTAAGGAAGGAACAAATAATTTGTTTTAAGTCTTACAGTATCTTGTATTTTTTTCAAATTCGAGCTCTGCATACAGATATCAAGGCGTCAATATAGTATTTTATCAATACGGGTATCTGTCGTATTTTTCACGATATAGAGAAGACATCTTCTAAGGAACGCGATCGTGCGACGTACATACGCGTCTGAAATATTCAGGACGCGTGTGGAATGTGAATATAGATTATAGTCATTATGGACTATTAAAGACATATAGCTAGGTATAGTTAGACATATACATTTTATTGTGAACATTCGCAGTCTTCAATTTTCTACGCATGTGGTTAATGAGCAGTGTATATCATTTTGATATATCAGAACAAAAAGAATTACCAAAAAACTGTTCTTTTCGTTCGACGTTTATATGCCATATAACCTTCCTGTGACGGAGTGGTGAAAATCATTTTTTTTCTTTGCGGGATTTAAAATTAGAAATTTACCAGCTGCAGCCACTACCCATTATCATCATTGATGAACAATTTAAAATCTTATAATTGTTTTTTTTTTTTATTCTCAGTACAGTTTTAGATTCATCTATAGTTTATCCAAAAAAAAATTATCACAACAGGTAACATATCAGTAAGTCGCCACAAAATTATTTTATGGGAGCAAATACCTCTCTTCTTTACAACCGGAGATTCGTGCCACGAATAATCCCCCTCGATTAATTGATAATAATAATAATTTTTAAAGTAATATTGATTAATTAATGATTATTGATAACCACGAAGGCACGACTAATAACTACCTAATGTCTTACATCGTGTTGATCACATACTACCTATCGGTTTAGATAGGCACCTAAATTTACAGAGATGCGTAATTTTCCATAAGGGATGACCGTTATACACGTAGAACTGTATAAATACTTGATTTAGATAGCAGTAGCGACTCGTGAGTAAATATTCTGGAGAGACTTAAATTCTATAGATAAAAATTCCATACAACAGTCAACAATGAACAAGACAAACCGTTTTATCGGAAAATAAATCATACTTAATAATTAATTAGTTAACCCTTTGAAGCATAGTGGTTATGCCATGAAATAATTATAAATAATAATAATTATATATACATACATACATTTATACTGTTTAATGATATAACGATTTAAATTTTTTTATAAACTCATTCAATTCAGCGATCATTTGTAATAATAATTGATGAGAACAGAGGAGTTGGGCGATTGTGTTTCGATTGATATTTTGTTCGTACGCGTTATAGTATTAAGATTTAAGACCACTGTTTGATTAACAATCTATTACTTGGTCTTTTTGCATTTTGAAAACAACTACAAATATTAAAATGTCGAAAATAATAAATATCGTAAGTATAAAGTATAAATACATGATAATTATTAAACAATGAATGTAATCAATAATAATCATAAGTCATAACAGCGTACAGCGACAAACAACGGCGCAGCGGCACGGCAAAATATATTATCGTGAACCCAGTTTCAATAGCCTCTATAATACGTGGCTTTTTCTTCCCGACCACCTCCGTTCATCCAGCCATAGCATTACATGTTGCAATTGAAACTGTCGGGCGGCAGTTTCACCGAAACGGAGACCGTCGTCGAAATTACTAAAATAATATTTCCATCGAAATAACTATTTATAGGTTTTAAATTGTGTGGCCTTCAATAATAATAAACAAAAAAAAACGATTTAATATATTTTCAATTCAAATAAAAATATTTCTTTACATTTTTATTTTTAATTTATTATTATTTACAAATGGGTGTTTTTTTTTTTTTTAAGGGGAAACGCAACCTCGAAGTCTCTCCTGACGAGCCACCCCTGGTGGGTAGTCCATGAAGTTGAATCGAAAAATGTTGTTTTTGCATTCCGTTCTTATTAAAATTGTATAATAAATATTAATTCTATCGAAAAATATTGTATTAATAATACATTGAAAATTACAAAAGAAATTAGACAAAATACTCATAACGGTTTTAAAATATTTATTTTACATTGTATCAGTAAAAGTTAAAAGTTTTTTATTTGCCTCCGTGCATAATAAATTAACTGCTCATCAAAATTTTCTGGTAAGTCTTCCGCATTACCACCACATTTTTTAATTAAATGTATTTATTAATTTGCAGACTACAGGAATCATCCACGTAAACCAAATTTTAAAACAATATTAAATAAATGTACTCTATTTAGTATTGGGAGCATAATGAGAACAATTAAATTTCAAAGGTTATTAATACAATGCTACAACGGGATGTTTTTAAATACCTATTATGCTTATACTATGTATCATACCTAATTAAATCAATAAACTTTAAATGAATAATTAATATACAAGTTTGAATAAAAAATATTTTATTCAATAATCCTTTAATTATTGAAAATATTTACATAGAAAAAGCTTAAATAATTAATTAGTTATAATTTGAGTCTAAATGGCTTACTGCTTCATTAAAACATATAATAACCGAGTCTGTCAGTTTTCTATACAAAACACTAAAAATTAATATTATGATTAAATATGTCTATAAATAATAAACAAAATTAAATGGAACCATTTATATTTTATATCAAAAAATTGATATTTTATAACAAAATGAAAAATAATATGACTCCACTCAACATTTGAAATGTATCAAATTCAAATACAAGACTTGGTTTATACTTAGTATACTTTTTAATCACTTTTTTTTTTTCAAAAACCGTTGTACAAGCTAATATTTTTAATTTTTTTTATCTCTTATGAATACTATAAAATATAATAAATAATATTAATCATGTTCAAATACTTTGTTGATTATAATTTAAAATGAATATATGATAAAAAAAAAAACAAATATTTAAACCAGTTACTTAATCTACCCAAGTCATATGATATACCAAAAATCTCATAAGGAATAAATCTGTATATAATCATAATTATTGTAGATATATAATTGTATAAAAAATATAACTGAAAGATACTATTAAAATTGATTCTATAATCAATGCTATTAGTTTGCACACCTGATGCTTATAAATGGACGTCATATTGGGAGCTATACCCTCTAACACAGTGGTTTTCAAATATTTTTTCAATAGCTGCACATTATTATAAGTCATGGCACACTTTGGATAAATATTATTAACTTTCCAAATATAAGTGGTTGAAAAGTTCAAGTTGTCGCAGCACACCTTTCAAATTTTACACTACACCCATTGGGAAACACTACTCTAACCTATGTTAAAAACCACAATTTCCACATTTAATCTTCAAATAAAAAACAAAAAAAAAAACATAAATAATATTATTATATGCTTTTATTAAGTTTTCAGATCTAAACTAAATATTAAAAGATTAACAGTTCAAATGATACAATTGCAAATAGGTTTTATTTTTTTATAATATAATATAATTTATCATAACAGTAATTCATTATCATTTTTGTAAAATAAGAACCAAAACTTGAATTTTAAACTATTTGGATACTAAGCTAAATACATCACATGTCATACTATTATACATACATACCTACACTATTAAAATAAAAAGTACTTTGTACTCCAGACTATTCTTTAGACAGATAGCAAATAATAATTAACATTTTCTAAGCATATCATTACTTATTTTCACATTTTAAAATTATGTTGAATCAAGTTATAAATCACAATTCACAGTTATATAATAAAATAATTTAATAACTAAATAATAAATATGCATTAAGAAATTAATAATCATAGTATCAATATATTAAAACTAAAAAGTAATAATGTTTTTGTAGACAAGTAATAGATTTTTTGTTTTAGTATAAAAATTTATATTAAAAATAATAATCATTGTATATGTTTTTAATACAACTAGAGAAAAATAAAAACTCTTCTTTTTATTTTTGTATATTATTGTTATTATTATTAAAAGGCGTTCACTAAATACAATCATGTAATGCAAGCAGGTATTTACATACACATGATATATATTGTTATATACTAAATTATATTTGGCCTATAAATCAATAATAAATCTTAAGTTTAGATAAATTTAACAGTTTGGAATATATACAGGAATAAAATGGTAATCAATAGATTTAACTAAATGAAACAATTACTTTTTCAAGCCTTTTGCCAAAGCAAACCCAATACCAACAACAGCACTAAGACCTAATGCTAAAGCTCCAGCCACTGCCATTCCTTTGTGTGCATCTGAAAAAGTTTAAAAAATAATGATTTACAACACATATATTATAGAACATTTTTCTTTTTTTGCAAAAATTGAAAATTTTTGAATAAAACAATAAAAATTTATAGAATATACAGATTAGACATTAATGATCATGATCAAAATATATTAAATTTTTTTCAAAACATACCAGATTCCATTTTTTTTTTTATGGTTTCCAATAAATTTTGTGCTTGCATATTTTCAGGTTGCATGTGTAAAAATGCTTTAATAAATTGTAAAGCTGTACTATATTCCTAAAAAAATATGTATTAATTATTAAACTATTTGAAATAATAATGAAATTACATAAAAACATACTAATCAATAAATTATAATTTTCAGGAACATTGTAAATAAGTTTTTCTAATTTTTTTTTTTTTTATATTATTATTATTATCATTAATATTTACAATCTGTATTTAATGTGATATAATAAGTAAATTTATTGTCTTATTTAATAGATATGGTCACATGATAGAAGAAACTACCCATTAACACTACTTCAATATTGTCCATATAATTTATATTTATTTATTAAGTTCATAAAACATTAAGTACCACATTTAGTACTTACTTTAATTCTTGAATTTCCTAATGCTAAGTAATAAAGGTAATTTCTTTTAGCTTCATCATCATTAGCTTCATGTTTAATCAACTGTTCCAATAATATAAGCCCTTTTCTGATATCAGCTGGATAATTGCTTCTCACTAAGCACCAAGCATAATGAAACTTTGTTTCTTGTGAAACAGTTCCTGTAGTGAGTTGATCATGATATTGTTTTTCAAATTTCTGAAAATCATAAATATTTAAAATTTCAATAAAAATGTTACACAATATTTCTTATGTCTATTATGTCTAACAGACTACAATTATTTTTAATAAAAATACCTAATAAAATATTATCTGTCGACAAATATTACACATAAAGTATGATGACCTTGTACTTACATAAAATGAAAAAAGAAAATTTTAGTTGCAAAATATGTTAAAACCATAATAAATGTTATGAATTATATTGTAATATTAGGATACAAATTAATTTTAATAATACAAGGAAAAACTGTACAATACCCAAAAGCAACAGTAAACTGTACAATTAAAATTTTTAATGATAAATACAAGCGTTCAAAATAAATATTGATGCTAAGATAATCAAAAAATGTTGGTGTTATTTGTCACATTGTAAAGCGATGAGGAAAACAAGCGAATGAACAATAACGACTTACCCTTAAATCTTCCTTGGAGACCACATCGCTTAAAACGTCTTCAACGTCCATTTTTCTGAAAGTTTTCAAAAATTTAAACTTCAAGCTTCTATAATAAATTTAAAATTGTTAAAAATTTCCTACTTTCACGCGAACGAAATGATGATGGAAGACAATGGAATAATTATGATGAACAGAGATAACTGGCGAACTAATAGACCTTTGACGATGCGTTAATTCGATTCTGACAAAATATCAATTATTAGTAGGGTACACGTATGACGTGTTATCTGACTCAATGTTTGTAATATTGTGTTATATTATAATACTATAGTTCGATAAGGTATATTTACGTATATAATAACCAATGATAAATATTATAATTAAATATTTAAATATTACGGTTATTATTAGTTGGTACGTTTTAGTGATAAATCAGAATTCGAAGGAGATCAAACATTTAAAACCATCGAATTATTATAAATAAACAATATTATAAAAACTTTAAAACAATATACCAATTATTTTGCGTTGACTTACGAATTCGGAGTTAAGAATGCAGTCCGCAAAGTGATACAAACACACTGTAGAAAACAACTACTAATAACCAATACTACACTATTTTGTGTTCAAAGTACACATATACTACCACCACATAATTGTTCTGCAGCTGATTACGTTGTTATCAACACTGTTATTGTAAACATATTATTACGCATAGACCTGATAATAACCTTTATTATCAGATCTACCTATGATACAAGTGATACTACGAAACATCGTGATAAATGTAGACATAGTGCATGTATCATAATTCATAGACAATGCACGTAATATTTTCTAATGAATGACTACCTCTTATTAACCTAACCTATCGGCCATCAAGGTGTATTTATCTAACTTGCTTAAAACACATTGGTAATATAAATAATTTATAAACCTATGCCATTTATATAAATTATAATTACGTTGTAACAACTACAGGGAACAGACATAAGTAGATGAGAATATAATAGTTAATGAGTGTGGAATAGATATATTGTTATTACAAAAATTAATAATGACAAGTGACGGCAGGGGGAGGGGTTACTGCTGTACGTTTAGTGTCGACTGTCGAATAAAAATCGTTATTGAGTAGGTAAATCATTTAAATAGATTTTGTTTAATTTAAATTCCCATTGCCCACTGGCCATTGTGTACGATAAACAAACGATTTCGTAATCGCGGTCACAAAACAATAATTGTTTTACCTAATAATAATATTGGATTTGCATAAAAGTTACCATCTTCAAAATGAAAATTTAAGCGTTTTATCGACTAACTACTTATCATTAGGGCCCGGATTCCAATGCAAAATGCATCATTTTTTTATTAATCCTAGACAATGCTTTCCAAGTTTATAATTTGATTCATGTAACAGAGACTTCAAAGGTGAAATTTTTATTTTGCATTTTTTTGCTTTTTTTTGCATATTTCAATATTTTTTCATTTTTAGCATTTTTGGGTCATTTTGTTGGTTTTTAATGCATATGTGTTCAATATACTATACAAATTTAGCCAATTCAAAATATTATCTAAAAAAAAATTATTCGATTCAGTTTTTATCTTATTGTTCAATGCAATTCTCAAAATTTAGTAAGTACAATAGGCTATTACTTAGAATTTAATTTTTAATATAATATACGTATTTTGGTATGTTTAGAATGAATAATATTTCTCCAGAACGACCAAAATACATACGAGTCAACTTCAATCAAATGTTCAGTTTTTTTTTTAATAAAATAATAAAAAATAATTAAATCTTATTTATTTATTACAAATTGTATAAAAAATATATGTCATTTTTAAAGTCATATTTTCATTTTTTAAGGTCATTTTTGTAGAAAAATGCATTTTTTTAAGGGCATTTTTGGCTATTTTTTAGAGCATATTTGTATGGTTTTAAGTGCATTTAAATCCGTGCCCTACTTATCATGAACACAAACACAAATAAAACACACATCATTGTAAAATCAATCATTCATGGCTCCACTCATCTAAAATACAACATTGTGAACACTAATGATTATTTTCAAATTATAGCAATTTATAATTAAATATTTAATCTATCAATATAAAATCAAATGTATGTCTGTCCTATGCATAATACCTACGATATTCATCCGATCGCTATGAAACCTTAGGAAGTTGCCAAGACCTAGTACATTATCGCGTAGGTTTTATATTTCTAGCATATTACATCCTATCCTACATACATGTTAATTAATACATTTTTAAATAGAGTTTAAGCCATCAGGTTATCAGGTTTTAAAATTAATTAAATAGCAAAATTCGAAAAAAACTGAAAGTGTCTTCTTTTGATAGGATTTTTGTAAGAATTTGCGACCGCGTATGTGGCATGTAGGTATTTGCTGAAATTTGGGCAAAAACACGTTGGTTGGGTCAGCTAAAACCTTTATTATGACTTTTAGTTGAGTCGAGCAAAAAGAAAAAAATAGTCAGAAAGAAGAATGCTAAGGGAAAACAAAATAAAAACGTAGATAGGCCATTCGACACAGTGCCGACCATATCCAAAATGTAAGTTAATGATAAAATAAGTTTTAAAAAATTCTATACAAGAGATGTCATTATTTTTCGACAACGAAAAGCATGAGGACAGATAATATTAAATATACCAATTATTAGCTCAGAAAAAATGAAATATAGTAAAAAAGACAATTATTAGTAAATTAGTTAGAATTGTAAGTGGGTAATTTATAATTTAACATTAATTCACCTATATAATTGACGGCTAACCGACCGTGATTTATCGTAAATTTATATTTATATACATAGGTACTATAGTCAATAAGCCTAATGTCCTAAATCCTAACCTTTACATCAAATTAAGTAAACAAAACTGTAATTTTTATCTATCTTGGTAGTCGACGGTTACCTATATACTTAAGTGTTAAGTATGTATATACACAGATTACAGGCCCGTACGCTGTGTACTCTTATGGGGAAGTTAAAAAATATTGAAGGGCGTCTAAATGTATATTATTTTATTTTTTATTCCTATAGGTGAAGGTCAGAAGGCCCATTATATAAATAATTATATTACAGGTTAAAAAATCTTAATTTTGTTAGCTTCTCCATACAATCAAAAATATAATACCTACCTACGTTTTTAAATACCTAATAGCTAATAATAAAATTATAGATTGAGAAAATTCTTATCAGTTACCTAATAATGATGTATTTGTATTAACTTGATTTAAAATATCTTGTTCGCGTTGTATTAAAAATAAATACTTCTTTTTCCTGTGAAGTTGAGAACCTTAATATTGTCTTTAAAAGTTTGAGTTTCAATACGTTACCTACTTGATTGAAACGTGAGTAGAAGAGTAGACATTAAGTAGCCAGTAGGTAAACATATATAATATCTATGTATTTATAATTCTTTGTCATTTATAGAATATACATTAAACTCTGTTTATATTATGAACAATGAATTGAAGGAAAATTTCATATATCCATTTTATGTCTCATGATATAAGGCTCTCATCAGTCATCACTCATCAATCATCTTACTTCTTAGTTAGATATATTTTTTTAAGTTTATATAGAAATCGACATCTTCAATATTAACTTCATCTAAATTATCGTATCTATGCATTATACAAATCTATTTAAATCTGACTGTTGTCTGTTGTAGGTGCATAAAGGATAATGCGTATCAATGATCATCGTCGCACTGAACTACGATTGAAATAAAATGTGTAAGTGTAAGTATATCGTGCACATCACCGAGTGCCGGGTATTTTAATAAATACCGTTTTAAGTATTCTGTTATTCTATATTTCTACAATTCTATATGTACTCAACTCTTTGGACTGTTTAATATTTAATAACTAAAATATTAATAAAATACATGTTGAAATCAGAAATTATAAAGGTTTATGAACTACTCATATAGTTTTAATTATTGCAAAATGAATAATAATATGCTAAAATAAGTATTATAACCTCTGACTTCTATACTATAATAACATTAATAACCATTATATAATATTATTAGTATCTATAACGTATAAGCTATAGATTAGAAATATAATATTACAATGTTATGAATTATTTTAACCTAAAGAGATTACAAAACATGTGTCTATAGGTAAAAGCCAAGAAGTAAGCGAAGCGAATGGATAAAATTATAAAAGTATAAAATATGTAAAATAACTAAAAAATATTAATAAATACAAATGTATGAATATCTGCAAATAAAAATAATTGTAACAAAAACACAGCGTGCCGTTATTAGATGTGCCACAAAAACTTTTAGCCGCTGCATTTAACTTTAAATATATATTTGAACTTTGAACTGATAACTAGATATCATTTATTACATATTTGTTTATTTTTATGAAGAATTTTAGTATGTAGTATTTAGTACCAAAATAAACATTTTTTGACTGCCGGTCAGTAAATTACAAATTCAACTAAGTAATTTGTAAAATAATATTATTGTATTAAATTACTAAAACATAGTAAATTACTTAAATTATGAATCATGTAAATTTTGTGTGTATGTGGAAACGATAAATAGTCAATAAAATGCTTTGTTTTAAACTTTGAAGGTAGTTTTAGATAAAAAAATGTATTACAGAGTGGTAAAAATTAAAAATTCTCAGTACTTTTTTTACAATTGAAAAAACAAAAATGAGGAAAACCGTTAATTTTTATACAAGCGAAAACAAATAAGTATAAGTACTTGACATTTTCAGCAAATGCTTAAAATATTTTCTATTTATACATTTTTTTTTAAATATTTCGACTATTTTTGAGCTATTTATAAACATAGGACTTTTTAATTTATTATAAAAATCGATAAGAAATTATTAATTGAGTAAAAATGTTTGAAAATTTAATACAAAAGTTTTAAAAATCGTTACTTTATCAATTAAAAAATATTAAAAAACTTTAGTAACAATATTTTGTTTTACACGTTTTAAGTTAGAATTTTAACAATACTTATCATTGATGAGTTATCAATATTTCAAAAATATACAAATTATCAGACGTAGAATTCATAAAAAATATGTTTTTACATCTAAAATTTGCAAATTTAATGCAAGATTCTTCATAGATAAGCAGTTCACACTGAAATCATAAAATCTAAAAAATATGCATTATGCAAAGATATTTTTTTTAGATATTTTACGTTAAAATTTGTACAAAATTACTTATTTAAAGTTTAAACAATAAAAAACAATCTTGATTACCTATTTAATATTTTGTCTTTATTAAAAACTATTTTAAATTGTATTAAATAGGTAATAACTAATAAAAATATAGACGGTATAATCATAATCATATTCCAACCTATTACGTTATTTTGATACAATATAAATTATTATTATATTAAAAATTGAAAATAAATTAATAGCCTTATTTATGATTTTTAGTTTGTGATGTTTGTACTTTATGAAATGTAGGTAAAATATTTTTTTAAGTTATTTTATTCATGGATAATACAATTATATGTATATATTATCTATAATCTATATGTTTGTATTCCATATTGGTCAATGGTCGTATTTCGTGAAGTATACCATAATTTTGCTACCATTTATTTACTAATTGTTATCACCACAGTTTATCTATATGAATGTTTAAAATTTTAAAAAAGCTTAAAAATCTTAAAAAAACAGTCAATTATTCTGTAATAATAACTAATAACTAATAAATAATTACATTCTTCTGTGATATTGGTCCGGTTTGGCAGTTCCAGTATTTCTTTATTTCCGTAAGAACCATGCGACTATAGACTTCCTCTGAAAGTAGTTTTTGTTAGTGTTTGAAATACAATTCCAAACTTTTTAACAAATAATCTTTTCATTTTCGACATATTATCAAAATTTTATTGAAAATTGAAATGAGTGGAACAACTAATATTCCAAAAAACACCGAAAGCAATGTCCAAGCCGTCGAAAACATAAACAAACAAAAACAGCGATCAACAGAAAAAGAAAAACTTGTACAAGAACTAACAGATATGGGCTTTTCCAGATCACTAGTAACGGAGGTAATATATTTTAATATTTGGCACTCAGACTTAAATTTAAATTTTAAAATACCTATGTTTAAGATTGTAGATAATGCTGGTGATGTACCTAAAGCTTTGATTGTTGAACAACTGTTAACAACAAACCCAGGGCCTAGTGAAAATATACCTGTGGTAGAAGATGATGGGGATCAGTTATGGGAAGATGTTACTGTTGCAAATAAAATGGTAATCGTTATAAATACTGGCTTGAAAATGAGTGTTGGAAAAATTGCTTCACAGGTAGAAATAATTTATTTTAATAACATAACATGTTTATAGCTTAAATTTTTAAAGTTGTGATGTTTTAATTTTCTGTATTGTAGGCTGCTCATGCTGCATTGGGCTTATATGAAGTGATTAAAGAACGTGCAGATCTAAGCCCTGATTTAATTAGTTGGAATGAGCAAGGGTAAGCTTGAAATTCTATATTTATATTATATAGAACAGTGATTCTAACCTTTTGTAGAGTATGGTCCCTCGATGAAAGATTTTTTGAAATTACAGACCCCCTTACCTTACCTAATTTTTTACAAATAAATTTTTAACAAAATATCTCATGTTATGTATCTAGGCTAGAACCACTAATAAAACCTTTGTAAACTATAGTTTAAGAATTACTAATGTAGGATAAAGAGATGATTTACAAATTATCTTTTTGATATACCTTAAATTTCCTCTTCAGAAATATTTCAAATTTGATAATATATTAAAATATATTGTCTGCATTAATTTTCCCCAAGTGAAAGCTTTTTCAATCACATTTGAAATAAAAATGTAAAGTTATTAGTTATAATAATTAGTAAATATAAAAAAAAAAAGTAAATATCATTTCCTTCAAAAATAATTGAATACTTTTAAAATTTATCTAAATCATATTTTATGAAAATCTATTAAAATGGTTAGAATTAAAAATATCTTGTTCTAAATGTCAGTAAAAAAACATTTGCCATTTTTATAATATTTAAAAAGTAGAAAAATACAGTCAAACAATTTCTGATATTGAAATTTAGGTATGAATAATAACCTAAAATACTTCAAATATTTTTCTTCTTCTTTTTTTTTTTAATAAACACTATTTGTGTTACAGGCTGTGTATAATAACCAATTATATAATTTGTTATAAAAATCTAATGTTTTTGGGTGGTTCACACGTGTTGCTGTAAACCATTGCTTAAACTACCACTGTTATAGTTAGATTTTTTAGTGTTGAACTGAGTGGTCTTATAATTTATAAAAAATAATATAAACATAGAATAATCAATTAAAATATTAAGAAACAAAACTGTTTGACCAATTAAACCATTATCAACACAATAACTACCGCATGATCACCGGTAGTCATACGATGTATAATTCTTTGTCACATCACATATATTTTTCTTTATTATTTCTTATTTATTTTACTATTTAAAAAAATTTATACATTTATACAAAAATAAAGTTTATTACATCAAATGAATCGTAATTATTCTCGATATGCTGTTGTGCTTTTTCTAAAGGATTATTTTAAGACCATAGAAAAGTTTATAATTATAAGCCACATTTATTTAAGGTTGCTGTCTGTCACATAGCAGTTAATGTGTTAACTATTATTATGATATATTATATTGTTATGATTACTAAGATTAACTATGTTTTCAGAAGTCGAAAAATTGTTGTTGAAGCAAACAACACTAATCAACTCATTAAAGTGTGTTCAGAGGGTAAAATACACAAGATTCCATTTTTCTGTGTCCACGATGCAGGTCTAACTGAAGTGGAACCCAATTCATTCACTGCATTGGCTTTATTTGGATCTGATCAAGAACTGAAGCCAGTTACTGGAAAACTTAGACTACTAAAATGAATAACATTTATTTGTTTTGGAGAATATTTAAATCGTTTATTGGTTATTTATTTATATTTGATGACTTACAACTAACATTTTTAGTTATACAACTATGAATGTGCTACATAAAACACAATATCTGTTAAAAGTGAATAAAATTGAAAATATTTGCTGATATATAATAGTTGATTTAAAAAATACAATATTATTAATTATTAATATTTAAAAATCAAAATAATTTACCTATAATCATTTAATCTAGGTAATTTAGAAACTCTAAAGTTTCCCTCTTTTAAACAAATAATTGAATCACTAAATGTGATCTAATCTTAAAGTATTATAAAATTATTTAGCGAAATAATTAACTATACGATAATCCAAACAAAATAGTAATATTTAACTATATAATAGGTACATAATATTATATTATGTATATATACAGTGTTGTAAAAAGCATTATAAATATTAGATAAAAATGATGTTACATTAATTGCCAACACCTTACAGTACAATCTAACAAAACAAATTACACACCATGGTCAGCCTAAAAGGGATATTTATTCAATTATAATAAAAAGTACAAATTGCGTTCATGTATAACCTGAGAAATGAATAAGTTCCAATACATAATAAAAACAATAGCATCAGATTATTTTTTGTTTTTAACATGTCAGTCTATTATAGGGTTTTAAAGAAAATATAAATAAATTAAAACAAAAAGTTATTTAGAGCTTATTTTTTGTTTGCATGAACTTGTTTAATTTGGATGATTATGATCATAAAAGAATTTAGAAGCATTTGGATAACGAATGGGGCAAAAATCAGGATGTGTATCTAATCCGGATCTGCCAAATGTCCTAATGCGTTCGGTATATGCATTCTGCACAGCAGTGTCAGCTCCTGCACTTGTTATCACTTCCGTATTGATGGCTACACCTGCTGCACCCATGGCAACCTCCAAATTATCTAAAATTTTTTTTAATAAAATCAGTATAATTTTAAGTATAATGTTTTTTAGACTTTTTAAATAATTAAAAATTATGATAAAATTATAAAATGTAGACATGAACTAGAATAGTATTAAGACTTTAAACACCAAACCCCACGCTCAATATTGTTAGAAAACAGATAATTGACATCAAGCATGATCTTTGATGAGATTATGGTTTTTCTAATATACCATTATTTTGACTGACCAAGTTTAACTTAAATAAATTATGCAATCAAAATAAAAGTATAATCAACTCACTAGCTATGATTTGGGATAAAGACCCCTGTGGCTTAGAACTTGTCACTATCTTTCTGCGTTTATTAGGCATACCAGACAAATAAGCATCGCTATAAGGCGGCTGTGTTCCTTGACGTCTTTGACGTTGTGAATCTCTAGCTATAACTGGTACCCATTCCTATAAATTAGAAAAATTGCATTAATATTAATTGTTAATTACTAAAATATCAAGGTAGTTAATTTATAAACTCACTGAAGGAACATTGTGATGCCAATCTTGAGATCCAATCACAACTTCAGGTAATGGTTCATTGATAATTTCAGAAGAAGGCATAGAAGGATTAGAAGATTGTTCTCCATTACCCTACAAAATAAAAATTTTAAATGTACACTATTTCCAGTTCCAAAAATTATCAAATATACATATATATATTAATATTTACCTCTCTTAATATTTGTGCAGTTTCATCAAATGGTACAATATAATCATCTACAGATAAATTCACAATCTCAATAGTATTCATTCTATCCCAATATCGGTCAATATTTGCATGTATTTCTCCCATTATTATACGGTGTAAATCCATAGGAAGTGGAAAGTATTGCTAAAATTATTTCAAAAATAAAGTAAATTTAAAGATTAGAATATTTGCTACTTACCATTACTGCAGTAATACATAGTCGAAATATAGGGCGGTTGTTACAGCAATAAACTATCAATGACAAAAATCCTTCAGCAAATATGGACAATGTAGATGCAATATCATTAATGGCTCCAGCTCGATCTAAAACACATATAGCGATATAATATAAAAAAAATCAAGAAGTAAAAGATAATTTGAAACAAAAATTCATATTATTTTTTTTTTTTCATAATAAGTAAGATTTTTTATACCAATAAAATTGTATTTTCAAATAATACTCCCGTTGAGGTTTCACCCCTCTTAAAATGTACAAAATAGTAAATCATTTAAATTTTCTATAGTTAATTTCAATATTAGATTGAATACATTTTATCAAATGTTAAGGTAAAAATACAATATTGTCTTCTCATAAGTTTCTTTTTATGACATTTTAATTTTATATAAGTTAGGAGTATGCAAAATATTAAAATTAAAAAGTTTGCGTATGTGGTAAAAACAAAAAGGAAACATGTGTAAAAATATTATAAATATATAAATTTTAAAATAGGCCAATTCAATCTAATACTAAAGTTAATTTCACAAAATTGGAACTTGTACAAATTCACTATGTTGTACATTTGTAAAATAAAAACATTTCTGACACTTTTTTAAGTTTATTATTTTGATGGACATTTATGTGTATATTACGGGAAATGTTGACATTGAAGAAATTATTAAAATGTTGAATAAAGAATGAGAGGTCATGAATACATATTACATTGCTACATTACATCTTATTTAAGAAAAACAGTTAAATTATTTTAATATAATATAAAAAACAGATAATAAAATTTTCTTTTATATAATTTAAGTACTTCCTAGTATCCTGTATAAGAAAATCTTATATTAAGATTAATTAATTATATTGTTTAATTCAAAGAGTAAATTATAATATTAAGTATATTATATGATACGATGACTTAATTATTAATTACTAAATTTTGAAATAACTATGTAATTGAAGAACATAAACACCATTTAGTAATCATTGAGTAAAGTATTAAAGAGAAAAAATATTAATTTTCATATAATAGAATTACAGTAAAATTAATGAAAAAACCAATATAGCAAAGAAAAATCTTACTTTCAGTACAGTAGATAACAATTCCACGTAGGTTTTGAAGAATACATCGACGGAAAGATGCATTCACATTAATATTTGTACGTGTTGGCACAGTACATTGCTAATGGATTCATAAATAAAAATGTATTATTAAATGAGTCTTAAAATTAATTTATATAATTTACTTACAAAAATATTTATATATGGCACTATTTCTAAAAATATGCGATTTGCAGCATCCTCAATGTTTTGATTGTTGGGTGGTTGATTAAGCATAATCCTATTCAATATGAAATCTACTAACTCTTCAGAATGTTGAGAAACTGGATTATTTCTAAGAGTTGAATGTCTTGACACAAAATTCACACTTAACATGTCATGAAGGGTCCAGTTACGAGCAACTATCAAGAATAAATCTACCAATATAGATTGACCCTCTACACTCCTAAAGTATGGTATGTCACCAATAGGAGTTAGAAGCAACTGATTTGGTAAACGTGCAGTTGATTGGGAAATGGATGTATTTACTGGATGCTCACACCCCTATTTAAAATAAAATGAAAGCTAACATTAACCACATATATATTATTAATTACAAACAAAAAAAATTATAAAAAATATTTTATTAACATTATCATGTTATTTAAGATAAAATAAAAAATTTATATGTTTATCTTTTAAGTAATTTCATGTTTTATGTATAATGGGAACCCGAAACAGTAAACAAATTTAGAAACATATATTATAATTTATTTTTCAGAATAGGAAGATAAATCTTCAAAACCTGTAACTTTTGTAGATATAGGAAAGGCATTTGAAAATATTAATTGATCTATAACTTTTTGGATGCTGAAAAGATTATACAGAAAAGATGCTACTTGACAAACTATAACAATACGTTATATTATGAGAACTAGTTCAAAATTAACTTTTGATATATTACTTTCAATTCACTACATATGGCATTAAGTTGAACAGATTAGGTGATCAATGTAGAAAATATGAGTATATTAAAAAATATATAAGTCAGATATTTACAGAGAGATTGGCTACAAGCTGAGGAATGGTGAATTACTTAAATAGTTACACAAGAGTATGATATAAATGGTAAAAATGTTAGTTGACTACGATTGGAATATATTACAAAAATAATAATAGCTAAAAGAAGTAATTTGTACGAAGAAATTAAAAGGAAAATAAGTAATAGAAAGGAATGAAGAATTACTGTATAAATGTAAATTAATCAAAATAAAATGCTCAAGAACATGTAAATAATACACCATCTTGAATAATAGTATATCATTTGATTTCTAATAATATGTTAAATGTATATCTTAAGACAAAGTCATATTGAAAATGTCTACTTACTAGCACTGAACTACTTGCAGGTGGTACATTTATGTCTCTGGTTCTATCTAAATCCACTTCTCTTTCTAATGTGTCAAAAACATTTTCCATTCCAGCTCCTAAAATAAGTCAGAATAGTAAAAATTTTAATTTTAATTCAATTTTTTTTTTTCATACAAAACACATAATTTTAGTTTAAAACTTTCACAAAAGTATTAATACATGGTTGATCCAAATTAATTTAATTATACATAGTAATTCGCCACTTACTACAATCACGATTAATGTTATCAATTGTTTATTGTTATTGAAAAGTGTAAGTACAGGTCAAATGTAAACTTATATGTCTAAATTAATTTGATTATTGTAATTATTACACCACATAATTTTATCAGCTCGAAGTCACAAAACCATTATGTATGAGTATATTTAACATATGATCAAAGTTTTCATTGACAGTATCAGATTTGTATGCATCTGTCGCATGTGTATAAAAATGAGTGAAAATGTAAAAGAAAAGACTTAACAATTTATGAAAAAATGTCAATACTACAACATTACAACAGTTTACCAAAAATGGGACAGCGAGAAACAGCTATAAAACTATAAATTTCCCAACTGCTAATGTGTAAATTATTAAAAAAAACAAATTGAAATAGAAAATTCAACAACACTTAATACAAATCTCAACATAAAGAGAATACGCAGTGATAAAGAAGAATAGGTTGAATCAGCATTATCATTATGATTTATTAATGTTAGAAAAA